GAGCTAATTCCGACAAATATATTTCGAGTTATGACCATTTTAAGAAATTGGCCAGTTTTTAAAAAAATACCTAAGGCTATAGCCCATGGTTTTTCCAAAAAATAGCTCCAAAATCACCCCAAATTTTTATTACATTTTCTGATACATACGTACATGTATTGATGTTCATATGCTTTGTAGAAAGTTTTATGTACACGTATGTACATATCTAACCAAATTTTATTATTATACTACATGTGTAATTGGTCTTTTTAGGATAATTTGTTTGAATGGCATTTCACAATACAAGGTCCACCTGGTACTGATTATGAGGGAGGACGTTATCATGGACGTATCTTATTACCACCAGAATATCCAATGAAACCACCTTCCATTGTTATACTAACTGTGAGTGAGGGAGGGAGGGAGAAATACTATGAGAACAGAATACATGTACATGTACATGTGTACAAACGTAGGTTTATCTTCATTTTTTGTCTCTCTTATCTTTCTTGTCCTTTTTCTCTCTCTCTCTTCTTTCTCCCCCCACCCCTCTCTCTCCTTAGCCTAATGGAAGGTTTGAATTAAATCAGAAGATTTGTTTAAGTGCTTCAGCTTATCATCCTGAGATGTGGCAGGCCTCATGGGGAAGTAAGAAATATTAACGATCATCAAACATTCTCTCTTCACTTCTTTCTTTCTCTTTCTCCTTCATATTCAGTCTTACTGTACATGTTCATTTACAATGTACTGTAGCAATAGAAAATTTGTTCGACAAATTTCTTTTTAAATTTTCTGGCTGTTGTAATTTTAAAATAATTGACTATAAATGTCCATGTCCATGTACATGTACATGTACGTCATGTACATGTACATATCCACTGCTATGATTCACCCTTTGAAGTACATGTACATGTAAGATGCTAATTAAAGTCTTATTATTAGCAAATTTAGCTCAATTTACAAAATTACATGTACATGTAATTATTTCTCTAACTGCATGTACATGCACATGTTCATACATGTATGTACATGTATGCAGTATATTTCTCTTTTATCCTCCCTCACCTCCCTCTCTCTCTCCTCATTAGTTCGTACTATGCTATTGGCGTTGGTTGGTTTCATGCCAACTGATGGTAAAGGTACTATTGGTTCCCTGGACTGTACACCTGAAGCAAGACGACAAATGGCTATTAGGTATACATGTACACGTACACATGTATAATGATAATAATGTGTATGTATTGAACAATAATGATGTACATGTACTTGTACTCTATGAAAATTTTTGCTAATTTTGCTGCTTAGCTAAATAGCAGTAATAAATACATGTAGAAGTATTAGTAACGCGGTAGCGTTACTAAGTAGGATTCACCCCCAAACAAAATGACTGCCGCGACTTTTGCAGCCTTGCTATACCGGGAAAACGAGCTCCTATGCTTACCAGACTTTATAGAGGACCTTATCTTGACCAGAGGACTCCAATGGTACCACTAGCGTGGCTCTAGACCTCGTCTAAGCGAAAAGTCAAAAATCGGCGAATCGGCCGTTTTGTTCAGCCACCTTTTTTCATCTTCATCTTCATCTTCATCATCATCAAGTCCTGTCAATCCAGTTGTCGGTGTGTATCTCAGTATCAGTTGGTGCTACAAGGATAATTCTCACACCAATCTACTCCAACAGTCTATGCGCAGGTCCATGTCCCATCAGATCATTCTTCAAGTAAGGAAAAAGTGATACTGTGACTGCTGGATCGAGCCATCTTAGCTACATGCCGCCATTTTGTTAATTAAAGAAGCTTGCCATGTGCTCCAAAATTTGGGTGTGGTCGCGCATGCTCAGATGCAGATCTGCAGCTCTGGAAGAAGCAATTTATTTTTTACCAAGCTATGCTTGGAATCAACTTACTGCAATACTTTAGTGGAGGTTTCCAGCTAAAAGAAGGTATTGATTTTACATGTTACTGTTTTATCAAGTGTGTTATTTTATTTTATTTAAAATAAACAAACAATTAATTAATGTTATGACTTATG